GAGTGAAATTGTCGCCGAGTTGGATGAAGTTCGATACTATCGAATCGGCCGGCCGCTTGCGATTCTCGAACGGTGATCCAAGCCGTCGCGATCGTGTTCGCGTGCGCGGTATCTTTCCCGAATTTTCGTATAGAAATCACGTAGATTTGTTGAAATGCAAATGTTCAAATGGAGCAGATGTTGAGACAAACTGAAAGGATGTAGGAATGATGTAGGAAACCGGCATGGCATGGCTAGCTGAGACAGAGGGTAATGAATAATCATTGTCGGCTGGGCTGCAAGTGAACGATCATCGTATGTCAAAAGGTACGTAACTGATATGTGGATTAAAGTGTGTATTAAGAGCGATATAATTGCACTGGGCCAAGTTTTTTTCATGCGCTTGAAACATTCTTGTTTATGAAACGTACGATAAATAATGAATGGAATGATCTAACAGAAGCAATAATGATTTTCGATGCCGCTGATATTTTGAGATGCATGTACTTCCCGCCAGTGAAAGATGGTGCCATCTTGGGCTGTGTCAAAGGCTGCGTTCCGTTTCACGCATGATGCGCATGATGCATCATTTATTCTTGTTTAACATTCGGTGAATAACAAGGATAAATAATGCAGCATGCGCATCATGCGTAAAACGAAACGCAGCCAAAGTCTCGCTACAAAAGCTTTGAAGCATTTGATGAACCAATTAGAAGAAAGAATTTTACTGACCAATTAAAAAACGCTCCAATTTTTATTTTCACCAAAGGTACAATCAACGATGCTACAAACGCTTCAAAGCGTATCCTTGATGAAAATAAAAATTGGATTATAAGTCGAACGTAAGAGCTGGAGAGTGATAGAAACATAAACGAAACTTTTAGAAAGCGAAAATTGAGACAACAAAATATAAAAGAAGCGTTTATACATTTTATCCTCTTTAGCAAAATAATGAAGTCAGAATATCATGACAGACACGAAGTCTGTCTTATGCTCCAATATGTTTTGACGTGCTTCAACATGCTCTTACTCCAATGAATACGTTGGAGTGGTAGGAGTTATGGTAGAAACATATTGAAATATGTTGGAGTATATATTGTATGCGACATAAATAAATTTAATAAAATTTATTTATAATAAATAATAATTATTTATAATAAATAATAAAATAAATTTAAAATTGATAACGTATCAATGTTCATTTTGTAACAGATATGATATCGCAGGTGTGATATCATTATGAAACTGTGAAATTGCACTTTGACACTGTTATGAACATTTACAGATAAAGATAATAATCGTTGCTTTTCTTTTAGGAAACACAATCGATATAAATGTCGTTTTATTTTTGTTATTCATTGCATATCAAGAAGGTCAGAATGGACATTCGATTGTACCTCCTATAAGGAAAGCAGTCAATGTAATATCATTGTCATCTTTTGATAATTTTACGATAACGTTTCAATTTATCCGTGATTATTGTGACTTATTTTTTTTTGGGGGGGGGGGGATTTTTTT